TTTTTATAAAACATTTTTTTCTCAAATTGAGCTTGAGCTGAGCTAAGCTCGAGCTTACGAGTTTTTGACTCGAGCCGAGCTCGAGCTCAAGGTTCTAGCTCGAACCGAGCTTAAGCCTTGTACTTCCTAGGCGAGCTGAGCTCAAGCCTCGTACTATTCGGCTCGGCTCGGCTCGGCTCGAATCCATCCCTACCGGCCAGACATATCATTTGCTATAAGCATGGTGAGTCAATTTATGTAGAAACCTCGGGTTCCGCATTGGGAAGCAGTTGTAAGAATAGTCAAGTACCTAAAGGATGCTCCAAGTCATGGTTTATTATACAAAAGTGAAGGAACTCTTGAGATAGAAGGGTACACAGGTGCTGATTGGGTCAGATCTGTGTCAGATTGGAGGTCTACTATAGTGTATTGTACCTTCCTTGGTGGCAATTTGGTAACTTGGAAGAGCAAGAAACAAATAGTGGTGGCAAGGAGCAGTGTAGAAGCTGAATATAGGGCTATGGCTCATACTACATGTGAATTAGTGTGGCTAAAAAATCTCTTGTAGGAAATGGGGTTCTCAATTGACAGGCCCATGAGGTTGTACTGTGATAATCAAGCTGCTATACACATTTCTTTTAATCTAGTCTTCCATGAAAGAACAAAGTACATTGAAGTCGACTGCCACTTTGTATGAGAAAAAGTGATCAATGAAGTGATAAATACATCTCATGTGAGTTCAAGAAACCAATGGGCAGATCTATTTACAAAGGGACTGGGTCGGGGAAGAGTGGATTACATATGTGACAAGTTGGGACTATATGATATATATTCTCCAGCTTGAGGGGGAGTGTTAAGATTGGCAATACATGGGTATTTAAGTCTTTTGTCTATCTAATTAAGGTTGAATAGTCTATTTTTTCTGAGTTTAAGTTGTGTGTCCTATACTTAATGAGGGGCAACTTTGTCTTTTGTAATCCAATACATAGGATATAAATACAAAGTGGGTTGGTTGGGTGAAGTGACTTTTTCTTCTCCTCTTTCTCTCTTTCTCCTTCTTCTTCTTCTTCTTCTTCTTCTTCTTCTTCTTCTTCTTCTTACATACTTCAGACCTAGAACTAAACTAGGGTTAATCGATTTATTCACAATAGACAAACCAATTTTTTTTTTGTTTGTTTCTGTATGATGAACCCTAAGCTTAGTTTTAGAGGAGTGCTTGCACAGTCGTGGACTTCCTTGCCCGACGAGAAAGAGAGACCAAGGGAGAACTAGAGGTAGAGATGAAAGAAAAGTCAATACATAAGGTTGTAGTGGTGTGTGATGGAAAGAAAGATTTCAAAGGGTATTTTTTGGGATTTTTGAAAAAAAATGGTCACGTGATGTCATATGTGATCCAGTGTGATGGAAAGTTAACGGTAGGGGAAGATTTAGTCAATTGTCAAGAATAATAGGGGTATTTTAAGACAATACTAAAACAATAGTTTTTTTTTTTATTTTTTTTAGCTTCAAGAAATAGTAGGGTTAGAATTAGTTAATTTCCTAAACCTTTGGGGTAGTTTAAGAAATTTGCCCTTAAAATAGTACTTGGCATGTTGATGATATCTAAGGTGAAGATAGAAAGAAGAAAAAGAAATCATAATTCATTAGAGGGATATGATCAACTTAATTATTGTAGAGGTAAAGACATTATTTTATTCTAAAGAGAGAGAAAAAGGTTATACAATGTTGTTTGAATTGATCAGTTTACGGCAATCCTTGGATGAGGATGAATTAATGGTTTAAGTATTTTTAAAAAGATAAGCATCATTTGAAAAGAGTGTAAATACAAATATGTTCAGTGCAAATGCAAAGGGAGCCTATGTGTATGAACTGTGGTTTCCCATTTTAATTCATATTTATTTAAATAAATAAAATAGAAAATATCATATTTGGATAATCTTAAAATCTATAATTCTCAATATAAAATTCAGTCCAAGTGATCAGCTTTCAGCACAAAGAAATCAGAGAGCTTCTTGTACATCCAGAATTCTTTCTTTTTAAAAGCACAAATCCATTAATAAAGGCAAAAAAAAAAGGAATTTTTAGGCAATAATTTGACAGCCATAGTTGATATATTACTTACAATACCTGTTTGAAAAATAAATATAATATATATAAGTTGAAGGGGCTAAAAGAGCTAGCAACTGATCGACGACTTGGATGGAAGAAGAAATTATTTAAGTGCTTATAATTTAATGATAAATAGAATCCAATAGAAAAATAGGAATTTGTAGTTGAGACAACGCTTAAATGATAACAGTATATAAATATTACTGGTTTTATGATTATAACCTTTAGTGTTTTATATGCTACTGAGTACTGTCCGGAAGAAATTAACCTAATTAATGAAAACAAAAACAAAGAGCAATAGTTTCCTTTGAGTTGGGATATGTTGCCCATATTAATCGCAGTTACACATGGAAAATATCTCATCCTCTGTATAGTATTATGCAGGGGGAGATGTTCCCAATTCACGGGGTAGTGTAGTATGGATGGGCATGAATAGCGTTCTCGTGGGCAGGAGATCCGGAGTCGTTTCCTTTATATGAAAACTTGCATATATAAGGGGAATGAACTACACTTACTAGATTTTGTTTTATTTCTTCCTTTTGGACAATATTGAAGTGTTCCTTTTTCCTTGTCACCCCAACATTAAAAGATTTTGAAACTGAAAGAAAACAAAAGGAAAAATCCCATTCTTCTTCAGAATCTTCCTTGTATGTAACAACTTAAAAGGTTTATAGACAGATTTCTTCCACCTACCACACAAAACAACCCTCCTACCAAATTGGCATATTTGTTTGGAATAATTTCTTTAGGCTGTGTTTGGTTTCAATCAAGGTTCAAAATATCGATATGCCCGATATGCCGGTAGGGGCGTATTGGGCGTTTCGATACTTGTTTTTTACCTTTTTTTTTTATTTTTTTTCAAAACTGGTTCAGGGGAGCCGGTCTAGGACCCCTCCATCCCCTGAATCGGTCAGACCCCCAATACACCCACTATAGGGGCATACCGGAAGGGTCCCGGAACGATACATATTGGCCGATACGGGCCAATACATAGCGATACTTTAAACCTTGGTTTCAATGCAAATTTGTTTGCACTAATGCAAAATTATGATAATGCAATTTCAGTGCAAATTATGATTTATTTTTATTTCAAAATTTACTTTGTTTTATTTGATTGCTGTACAATGAATTAAAATAAGACCTCAGCAGAATGAAATAAAACCCAAAATAAAATTAAATCAAAATTTGCATTATTTTCATTTATACTCCCATACTATTTCAAATAAAATTGTATTACAACCAAATACAGCCTTAAAGTCTGCATCTGCTGACCACAGCACATTGCTAGGTGAATGTGACCAGCAGCATTGCATTGTGACAGCAGATCCGAAAACCTTTCTTCCATTTAAGGAGTTCAAATCTGCGCCCCACAAGAGGCACCCCACATCGTCCCACATCACATCCCACATCTCCCCATAAGATGTTTTCAATACACGGCGAGGATATAATGTGAGAGGTTGTGGGGCGCCGATGTGAACTCCCATTTAAGTTCCCTACTGTTGATGTTTTACAAAATTAGGGGGACATTGGATCCGTATATCTTAATGGGAAATGCACAATTTCTTTGTGAGCAGTTAATGTACATACCCTTCTCTTCCATAACCATAACGTAGTCTTTATGATAGAGCAACCCAAAGCTAGGTCGACTTGCCACCTGGCAAGTTGAGAGGAACGTAGATATCCCGAATGTCTGTCACGGATGTAGGACATATCATATATATGATCCCCCCGTCACAGGGCATACATCCCTATAATTCCGCAAATTTGTCTCAGAAACTCCCAGACAATTCTGATATTTGCACTGATCGAGTCAGTATACGCGTATGGCATACAAGGCGACATATAAATTTTTCTCAACAGTGTCTACACTCACACAGAAAAGAAGGCGACCACACACACTCACAACAATGATGGCCACATTGCAGACCCGTCTTAAGCTAAATCAAGTGTCCCGGCTGTCCCCCAAAAGCCAATAGGGGTCATCATGAACTCGTGCCCCCCGTTCGAGGAAATCAGGAAAGCGGCTTCTCTGTAAGCTCATGGGTTCCGCCTCTCTCCATCTCAGCTGTTGGATGTTCTCTCAGCGCCATTCACTCCGTGATTACTTCCACCGCTAGAAGTCATCTCAAGTGTTTCTCTCTCTCACTTGTCTTTCTTTATTACAACTTGCCAAATCGGTGATGATCGAGAACAATCTAGCTACCGATGAGTCTTTCATGTCATCTGGAGGGTCCCACTATTTGATTATCATAGTCCCGAGGGTCATTGTATCATTGCATGAAAGGTCTTAATTCTCAAACGACCTCGTCTTCTGTCCAGAGGCCACGCGTTTCCAAAAAGGACATCCCCGTGGGTCCAATGCTCTTGTCAGCGTCGGTCTGAAAAGGGGCTAAAATGAAGGGCATTATTGGAAATTAGAACAAAGCTGATCCCCCTAGGACCATGATCTATCTACCTATACGACCCACCAAACCCCACCAATGATTCTGATGGAGACAGGGAAAGTTATTATATATTGCGACGTTTGATGAAAAGCTTTATATTTCGGTGATTTACGGTAACCGATAAAGCTTAACTAATTTGTTAATATTAGGCAGCGAATATATATCTTTTCGTCATCCCCAAAATACCCATCCCTCCCCTGCAGCGAAGGGGGGGGGGGTCTATCGACCATCGGATGATGACGATGACGACGAGAGATGATACTATATTCTGACTTGTGGGTCCCACTGGACAACTGGGCTTTAAATCCACCTGTCCTCCAATACCCCGGAACCCAAAAATCAATGGCATGGCGCGCTTCTTCTCCAAAATTATTAATAAATTGAAATTAAAAAAAAGAAAAAAAAACCCTGAAATAAAATCCAGTTCTTCTTTATTTTTCCCTTCAAAACTCTCTGCTTCCGCTATGCCTATAAATATATAAAGCCAAGTAAAAGAGAACACCCACATTTCCACCCAGCTACGGACATGCCTAACAGCTGCCCCCGTCGGTCACCGGCGACGCCCGTTCCGGTGCTTGCCGGGCTGACCGTCATCATCTGTCTCTTCTCTTCCGTCAGTCCGGTCATTGGGTGGCGCCCATGGCCTAATCAGCAACCCACCAACAACACCACTGACCTCCTGTTCGGAGGCTCGAAGAAGTACGAGGGCTCGTCCGAGTTCGTTCACCTGAGGTACCACATGGGCCCCGTCCTCACTGCCAACATCACCGTTCACACCATCTGGTACGGGACATGGCAGAAATCACAGAAGCGAATCATCCGGGGCTTCCTCAACTCCATCTCCGCCGTCGATGTCAAAGCCCCGTCCGTGGCCGGGTGGTGGAAGACTGTGCAGCTCTATACCGATCAAACCGGAGCGAACATTTCCCGAACAGTGGTTCTCGGAGAAGAGAAGAACGACCGGTTCTACTCGCACGGAAAGTCGCTCACTCGCCTTTCCATCCAGTCTGTGATAAAGAGCGCCGTGACGGCCCGAACGAAGCCCCTCCCTGTAAACCCCAAGAGCGGACTCTACCTCCTGCTCACATCGGACGACGTGTACATGCAAGATTTCTGCGGCCAGGTGTGTGGGTTCCACTACTTCACTTTCCCCTCCATAGTGGGGTACACGCTACCGTACGCCTGGGTGGGCAACTCCGCCAAGCTCTGTCCCGGCATCTGCGCCTACCCGTTCGCCGTACCGGTCTACATGCCGGGTTTCAAACCGATGAAGTCACCGAACAGTGACGTAGGAGTGGACGGCATGATAAGCGTCATCGCCCACGAGATTGCGGAGCTAGCAACCAACCCATTGGTGAACGCGTGGTATGCAGGGCAGGACCCTTGTTTTCCGACGGAGATTGCCGATCTCTGCGAGGGGATCTATGGTACGGGCGGCGGTGGGTCCTACACCGGCCAACTCCTGGACGGCCACGATGGGGCTACGTATAACATGAACGGCGTCGGGCGGAGGTTCTTGGTTCAGTGGGTTTGGAACCCTGTGTTGAACTACTGTTCTGGTCCTAATGCTCTCGATCAGTAGTAATACAGTAATAATTTGAACTTTGAAATTTAAACTTTGAACTCTGAATTCTGATTCTCTGAACAGAGAGAGGATGATTAGAGAGAATTCGTGAATTTCTTTCTTTCATCTGTCTTATTATGGGAATAGAGAGAGAGAGAGAGAGAGAGAGAGCAGTTAGTTAGTTTTATTAAGTTGTAATAAACGTGTTTAGATGATTGTGTACAAAGAGAAAAGGGGGTTGGTTTGCTTCTTTTGCAGCAATGGAGATGTTTTTAGTCTCATGGTCTGTTACTGTTCCCGCCTTATTTAAAGTGGGTTGTTGAGCCCTGGAGAAGATTTTCATTTCGAAAATTTTCAAGTTCAATAGAAGAGAAGAAGAGAAAGAAAGGTACGTATAGTCGGAATTAGATTTTTTTCTTTTTTTTTTTAACTTTATCGGACATCGCGTTCGAGTTCTAAATAAATACTGTTAAAGTGGCACATGTTATTATGTTATTGGCACGAGTATAAATAAAGTAGCCATTTGTGCCATTTCCTAACCTTTTATGCCTTCTTTTTCTTTTTTTATTATCGTTTAGCCTGATCTTCCACGTGGCAACTTTTTTAAACCAAAATATCTTGCCACCTGTTTAATACAAGTTAGAACCTGTTAGGCATGGGTTATAGATTGGATGATGGGAAGCTGATGTGTGGTGCAGTAGTAGTGACTGTATGTGATTGCATTGGCCACAGGATTCGTTCATTGACGTGTCACCTAGTCGTAGGTAGCTTCCTTTGAAAGGATACCTATTTTTTTTGTTATTCTTAAGAATAATTATTATGTATTAATAAACACTAAAAAGTGCAGCGACGCACTAGGGACTAGGGAATGGAGATTTTTTTGTTTTTTTAAATTTTTTGCTACTTTTCATGAGGTTTGGCCGCTAATGGCTTAAAATAATACAGAAGAGGCACATCTGATAATTGATTGAATTGTGTTTTCGTCTTCTCTTTCACAGTTGATAGGTAGTGGTGGAATGTTTATGTTACAAACAAAACTTTGAGACTAGTTGAGAGTGCAGAGGAAGATAAGGGGGATATTATATACAGTACGAGTCACATCCTGTCATCTCTCACGTATATATATGAAATATGATTTATGAAATCGGTGAGTGAAGATGAGTTAAGACAAACCTATCCTACAGAAAGATAGTCGCTAATCCAAATTCCCAAAGGAATCTTGCAGCCAGCATTGCCACCCAACTTACTACATCCATAATTGTTTGATGTTTGGACTTTCTATTCTGTTCCTTTGACATCCGTCCTTTTAACAAACTGTTAATTCACAAGCTTTCCTAACCTGAGGCCACATATGGAAGCCACCTGGCATTCATGAGTACTTCCAAACTGAGCCGGAGGGTTTTTTGTATTCTCATTAAGTCGCTGTAGAGAAGTAGTGATGGTTCAGTCATCAGTGTGAGTGTTTTGGATAAGCTATTGAAGTGCGTGTTTACACTCAAATGCATGTTTGCACTCCAAACTGCGTTTGAAATGCATGTTTGCATTCTGGATTTTTACCAAATGTATCTTTTGCATTTTTAAGGGTCGCCATGAGTCCAGTTTTTTATGAGCTATTCGAGTTCGGTTTGTAAAAAGTTTGATTTGGTTCGATTTTAATCGAGCTTTGAATTGAGTCGAGCCTAATGTATAATAATAACTAATTATTATAATTTTTAATTTTTTAAATATTAAAAAAATATTATATATATATATATATATTTTATTTTTATAAAACATTTTTTTCAAGTCGAGCATGAGTTCAAACCTCGTACTGCCTTGGCAAGCCGAGCTCAAATAGGCTATTCAGCTCAGCTCAGCTCGAATCTACCCCTATGCATTTTTCATGTGAGGCCCATATCGAAGTGCAAGAATATGCTGGGCAAAAGCCCTCCCAAACAGACACTCTGTTCTACAGCTCGAGTGCTAATATCAGAGAGAGAGAGAGAGAGAGTTGTCAGTTTTTTTGGATATTTAAAGATGGCAGTTTTCAAGCATTAAGAGAGGATAACAACTGGAACTACTACAACAACATAAGCGACCCCATCTGGCACCTGGGCATATTTATGATTTATCAAGAGAAGAGAATCACTATGGTAGGAATGCAAATGGATCGGATTGAATTCAAATCGGGATATATTCAAATTTGATCCAATCAAGATTTCACAAATGTCAATTTAGATTTGAATCTGTTAAAAATGTTGGATATTCAATATGATACGATTCAATTTAATTTCTATAAAATTTAATAAATTATTAAAAGAAAAAAAAACACGACAATCTCTATACATTCTTTTTCAATCTGATTCCATTCGATCTAAAATTCCGGCAGGAAAATATCTGAATCCAAGATCAAATTAAAATTTAGACTGATCCATTTACATCCCTACACTAGTCTCTACACACTTTTCCAGTCACTCGGATGCATTACCTCTAATTCTCTATCCATCCATATAATCAACCGTCGCCATGATGGTGAAGGCCCACCGTCATTTGGTCATTTTGGGTCCCACCTTTCAACTATAAAATATAATCAAAGAAAAAAAAGGGACGTCGCGATCGCAAATGAGAGCATCAAGGTCGTATTCGGGACAGCTTCGCCGTGGCGGATGAAGATGAACATAATAAACTAGACAACGTGGTTTCTACTTACAGAGTTACAGGGGATGACGTAGAAGCTTGTCAGCTTACCAATTGGAATTGGAATCTCTGGTCCCTCCAAATTTGTACCCAAATCTGGCAACAGCTGCATGGTATTTTCGAATCCCCTTCCCTCAAACCCTCCAGGACCCAAAACGATTCCAATCCAAATACATAATTGACGTGGGTCCCCTACATTTCCTCCCTTTGTTCACTCACTTCACTGCTCTTCTTTTGGGTTCTGGTTTACAACTTAGAACTTACAACAATGAAAATAATAAATATAAAAATAACATATTCATCTAACAGCTTAACATCAATGTTCTAATGTGGGAGTGGCTAGTGGGAAGTGGGAACCACCCTTGCATCTAGATCCAATCCAGTCCAGGTTGATATATTGGTTTGTAGACAGACAAACTAGTACGTTTGCAGTGACTCATGACTCGTGTCCCTGCTCATACCGGTATAACAACCCATCCAGAGATTTCCACCTTACCACACACAGCAATAAAAGGGAGACCATCAAAAGGAGATAGCTTGCCCAGAAATAAAAGCTGGATCGAACAATAAAAAGAGGATTTCCGTTTAACCATGTGGATTGAATCCACTGACAAATCACATGCAGGTCTAATCTAACGCAAGGAGGTATTACAATGTGGAGAGAGAGAGAGAGAAAGAGACGACGCTCACACTCAAGTGTGTAAATCGGAATCCATGTGGGGCATCATCACAGTACCAATTTCAGAACTTTTATTCTTGGACGGTTGGCCCATTGCATCTAGATGACCGAGACGGTAGGGCATTGTAATTTCAGGGTAAAATGTCTTATAAGCCAATTTTGACTTTTAGATGTATGATGATGGGTGGTTAATGACTCTTTGGCATCATCTATTTGCTTGAGACATTATCTTAGAACCAAACTGTTGAGGATGCCACAAGAATCATCACATAAAGAATGCATTGTACATGTTCATACATATAGGTGAAGTGGGTCCATTCAACAAGTAATGGTAATAGGTGGTTGAGATCGATCTACATTCTAGAATCAAACGGTAATACCAATTAAAACAGAAGATCATGTAAAAGACTCCTTTTGCGGATCTCAGTGAATATAGCCTTGCATCAATGCGCATTATATGTGATGGGTCTCGGCCTGACCTTGGTCTTGTATTGTATGTCCCCAACGAGCTTCTTTACTGAGTGTAATATTCAACAGTTGAAGCGCTCCATGGAACATAGAAAACTTGGATCAAGGCAAGAACATAGAAAACTATGAGAGGCGACTGAATTAGGCCGAGTGTGTGTGAATTCCATTTCGGCAACTTTCATTAAAGGGTTTGATTGGATTTTCTGGACGTAAGTCACGACTGCTGTTGCAGAGAAGCTTGGATGATGGATGTAAGCGATGGATGTATCCGGGCTCTTCTCAATGAGCGAGCTTCGCTTCTACCTTCAGCATATTCCTCTCCCAATGGCCATCTTGGCCGCAAATCAAACTGCCCAGAAAGATGCAAAACATCCTCGTTAATGTAAATCAGAAATTTATCATACAAAAAGGGAAATGATAACTCGGAGCATAAATTCCATAATACTCCACACTGTATTGGAATACTCCCCCCCCCAAAAAAAAAAAAGAAAAAAAAGTCAAAGTATGTGGGCCAATTACAAGCCAAGGTGTTTCCTTGACTCAAATGAGACGATCACTCTGCAATCATATATAGACAAGAAAAGATTGAAGTAGAGAATCAAAATATTCCACATAACAGCAGCAACAACGACAATAATCAAATGACAACAGCAGAGACATTAAGATAACTTGAAATGGCAGAAGCATGAGGTAAACTTTCAATTGATAAAACAGCTAAAAGAAAAAAAGAAGAAATGTTTCAGCAATATCCACCTTTTTTCCCTTTGTTGGCCAGCTTATGTGAAGATTAACTCCCAAAAGAAATCCAGAAATTGCAGGTTTATGAAGATAAAAGCAACATGATGGAATAAAAAAAATTTGTTAACTAAAGGGGTTTTTTGCACCTATGTTGGCCCTTTTTATAGCTATCCCTGTATGATATTTGTCATCTGCATCCCTGATGTAAAGAAGCACCTAAAAATATTGTTCTGAAATTGTAAATAACAAAAATATCCATTTATTTAATTATTGCTAGTTGAAGGGACTAGACGGGCTAGGTGCAGATATAAGAGGACATAGGTTGAAGTAGTAAGAAATGATATACGCGCTAATAATTTAACAATGGATAAGGCACTAAACAGAATGGAATGGCAAAGCAAGATTCATGTAGCTCACCCCATATAATTGCGATAAGTCTTAGATGATGATGATCCAGTCATTTAATTACAGTGTAATGTCCCCCCAAAGAGTGAACAATTAGCTAATTCATTGACAAAACAGAATAATTCTCAGAGATATCTAGCTGGCATGAATTCTTTAGCTATGTCAATTACCATGATATAGTTTTCAAACATCTCTGCATAGGTAACATGAGGTTGATAAAACACCATCTTTTAGAAGATTCTTTAAGTTTCTTTTACCTGCTAGCACTACATCTTATATTTTGACATTATCCCTTGGTTTTGCCTTTTTTTTGGTCTTATCCATTGTTGTCTTACATTTTTTGGACTTAGCATGTGTTTAGCTATTTCTCTTAAAAATGTAATGGCAATGGATCCATATTGACATGGTGTTACACATACAAGCAATCTAGATGATGTGGGCATGAATACATCCTAAATTACAGGATGAGATACCATAAATGTACGAGAAAAAGAACATAAAAACACTAAATCTATGTGAATCTAGTTTATACAACAAATATCAGGGGCACATAAAAATACCATGAGAACAAGTGGGGCATATAATAGTAGCTATTATGAGAACAGATGGCAATACAAACCACAGAATCGTCTGGTTCATTGGCAGGTGGTGGTGGGTCAAATCTTCCCAAGCGAAAGTGCTCGATCCCAGTCCAAGCAACCATGACACCTTCTCAGAAGAAAATCATGATGTTAGACTTTCATGAATAACTTTAAATATATATTAAGAAGAGATTAAACGATTAGAAAGGGAAGAATAAGATTTTCTGGAGAGGGGCTACATCTGCAAAAGGTGATGCAGGTAATCTATTAAAAGCAATCCTCTGGAGTCTGGATTTCCTACATATGCCAAAAAATCCGTGTCCATAAGAGTCCTACATTAATGACAACTATTGTTTATTCCTCCAAATTTTGTGAAGGAAAATGGACGGATAGTTAGGGGTGGCAACAAGTTGGTTTGCAGTATGGATTAGAACCCTACGTAACTTTGGTGTAGGGTTCAATAATTTAATTTTAAAGGCAAAGATTTTAGTTTAACACAAGTATAGTACTCTTTTTTTGTTTTTTTTTTCTATTTTCACTGCAAGGGTATTATACTCCTAAAGCACCATAATCTCGCTCCCATGTTAGTTAGGGCAATCCTATGTTTAATAAGTGAACATTTTTTCAAGAGTAAAAATAAGTGAAGAAATTGGGATTCATTAAAACCTATAAAAAATTGGGATTCATACAAAAAACATAACTGAACATATTATATTAACCCAAACCAAACCTGAGCCCAACCTGATCCAAATCCAAACCAATATCATTTGGTTGAGAGTTGAACAACTCAGGTTGGGTTAGGGGTTCACCCCAACCCAGCTGACCTGTATGGCAAAAGGTATTTGTATTACCATAAATGAGGGAGAGATACCGTCAACTCTTTACAATTGTCTATTGGTGTGTGACTGTAACTAATTCACAATACAGATTCAGGGGACAAGCCACACCACTGATTATCAAAAACCCATCCACATCTCGACGGTAGGTCTACCGTTTGAATTATTTCCCTTGTTGCAACCCACAGGAAAAGAGGCATGAGCCTTCCAAATCCAGGCCCAAGAGATCTTCTGGAAAGGTCCCACCAAAGCTTGGTAGCAGGACTTGGTGGATAAACAGCCTGAGTTCTCTCTAGTACAGATTCTGGTGTCCCTAGAGTTGGGATTAAAACTTACAGAGTTGAGCCTTCCAAACAGGTCTATCAGAAATGGGATCTCCCAGTCATTCAAATTCCTCCGGATATGAGGGACCCACACCAGCTGGCTGTTCAAGAACTCCATGTGATCCCTTACTAACCCTTCGCGGTTGGAAGCAATGTAGAAGTATAAAGCTCACCAAGCGGCTGATCTGCACACCAGGCATCAGACCAGAAGAGAATATTTTCTGTTCCCAGGTTTCAGTTTGATATGTTTGGAGAGTTCCGGCATTAAATTCATTATCCCCTTCCAAACACTAGTACCATAAGGCTGATGAGGAGGGTTTGAATCCCTATCTGTAGGGTTACTACCATATTTACACTCAACAATTTGCCTCCACAGGTGGTTCCTTTCTTCACCATATCTCCACAACCACTTAGAAAGAAGTGCTTCATTCATTAGTTTCAGCTTCCTAAAACCAATCCCTCCCTTTCCTTGGTCTTGCACAATGAATCCCATGCAAACAAGTGTAGTTTCCTCTCATTTAGCCTTCCTATAGAAAATCCTTATGCAGCCTATCCAGAATTCAAGCCACTGACGCCAGCATAGAGAACAAAGAAAGATAGTAGGTAGGAAAATAGGGCAGCACACTTTTAATGAGCATGATTTTTCCACCTTTGGAAAGTATCTGCACGTCCAACCTGATAATTTCCTCCTGAACCTCTCAATAACAGGATCCCAAATGGCCTGGGATCTGTAGTTGGCAATCCAGGGTAGAAGCTAACTTCTCAATATGTGGGACCTCCCCAACTGGCAAAATAATGTTTTTCTGCAAATTCACCTTCAATCCTGAAATGGCTTCAAAACAGATGAGAAGACGCCTCAAAAACAGCAAATAATATCAACATGTTCTCAGCAAATTGAAGCACATTCACCTTCTGCCCTCCTGTCCCAGCTCACAAACTTTCTATATACCCTTCCAGTGCCTTAAACTCTGCCCAATTTGCACCCCTAAATTTGCATGACTAGAAGCTCCATGTTAGTCTGCTCTTTTACCTTTGTTATAGTAAACTGTAGAAGAGAGTTGCCTAATTATGGACTGATGGGTTAATAGGCTTAAACTGGATCTCAACCTGAACTAAAAAGGGGTCAGACATTTACCTAAGAAATTCTCCCCGGCTCCTAACCTGGTAAGGAGTATACCAAACCTGCGCCAATGGGGGCAAGTTAGAGCAGGCTTTCCATTTATCCGGACTCCATTGCCATACCAAAAGATAGGAGACCCATTTTCCACTACCTGATAAAATTTTTGCCACAGGCAATGCATGACAAATTAAACATGGGACCCTCACTGCAAATTATTTTGCCACATGGAAGACACACGGTTCATCTAATCTCTGACTTAACAAGATGAAAGTGGACTTGGGAACAAATCTAAAATCAGTATTCACTATTTAAAAGTTCCTGTATTTTTCGGATCTTATAATCATATGCCTAGCAAAGATCAACTAGCTAAATAAAAGTCCATCTTTGTTAGCTAGAGATATTCTATATGAAAATATGAAATTCATTATGAGCATTAGATGCTCATTTATACCATAGAGCTAAGGAAAAAGAGTAAAAACATATGTACGAGTGCCCCCCTCAAGGGCCTGTGGAGTGTCCAAATCTGACACATGTCTGACAAAGACAATTTGCCCATTAAGGAGAGTTTATTAACACTGATAGTAGCTAATACAAAAAGAGGCACAATTAGTTTTAATGCAGATAGATCTGTAAGTTGAGCTAAAAAAGAAATGATGATTATAAAAAAAAAAAAGAGAAAACCCATTAGGAAAGAAGCATGTAAATGATTTATTATACTTGTCTGGAGGAGATAAAAACTTCACATATAAAATGCCTGCAAGTATCGTGCTTTTGGTTTCTTTAGCTTTGTTTATCAGTAATTTTATTAATAAACCAGGCTTTAACTAAATAACATAAGCAAGGGAGGAATAACGCATTGCATCATCTCAATGCTTTTAACTTGTACAGTTTTGAAGTTGATTGGTAAAACATACATGTGCATATTCCAATAAAAAATCAAGAGGATGAAAAAAAATTGCGAAGAAATTCTGTGCTTTACTGAAAAACAAAATAAAATTCATGAGAATATTGGGGCTTGGTATAAAAAACACTACATTATCTGGGATTGGTATTAAAAAACAAGAAGCAAAGCTTAACTCAGGCAGAAGCTGGCTTATTCTTTCACAGAAGAGAATGACATTCGTGTGGAATGGAGGAACAGGATTATGATGCCAACCCAACTTAGGTGGAAAGAATGAAAGATGGCTATGAGTATACTTTTATTTCCTGTCAGTTGGCATTTTTTTATGCATGATACTCAAAATAGTATCTCATCCATATGGTAACCAAATGAAAGAAAAATATAAATACCACCTACCATTATCTGTACAAAGGCTTGGAGGGGGGCAAACAAGTTGCAGACCCTTCTTCTTTACAATCTGATTTAAGCGAGTCCTCACATATTTATTTGATGCAACACCTCCTGACACTACCTATAGAAGGTAGAAAGTAGAAAACCAGGACAAATGACATAAATCAGTAGGCAGTTCTTCAGGAGGATAGGAGCAAAGCAAATATTTTTAATACACATACCAAATATTTAATAGAAGGCTGAATCTTCAATGCCCACTCAATTGCTCGATCACATCTCTCTTCTAGGTGTAATACTGCAACTCGCTGCATAGTAAAGTTCCTTGATGAGGTGTATCAATACTTAACAGGGGAGAGAATACAAGGCCTTCCTATTGCTATTTTTACCAATACTTTGTAACAATTACACGTACTCATTCTATTAAGCCAGATACTACTACTAAACCTGAAAAGAGGCAGCAATATCAGCTCGTGAGCTTCTGTCTTCACAGCTTGCAGAAGAAATTGGAATTTCTGCTTTACTGCATACAACCTATGAAAACATCAGTAACTTAGAAGTTGAATGCAAGTAAGACATAAGCAAGGAGTTTAATCATGAAGCTTTAACTGTCAAATATTTAGAGACAATAATATTATGCTTTGCTGAGATTTTTATCAGCATTTTTGGCATATGTAATTTTTTGTTTCCCTTTTACATTTATCTAATAGACTAATACACCCCTTTATTATTTATTAAAAAGAATAAACATATGGGCATGTACTATATAGTTATGTTACAACCCTTTTGCTTATCCTTCATATCACCTGCAAAGCCATCAAGGCATTCTCTCTAATATACACTCAAGTGGCTAAATTTTTCATAAATGTGAAATACAGTTAGTTATAGCTAGGCAATTTCATGATAGTTCAGATTTTGCATTAATGCCAAGTTTTAGATGTTGTATCTATATAATGAAGTTAAACAAATGAGATCAAGTTTCTTCTTTCTTGGGATAAGTAATCAAGTTAATGAAACTTAACATGATTAGCAAAGATCAGCAACTCTTAGTATAGGACTGATATGACCCAAGGCTGGTGAGCTTGTGGGGCTAGGGACAGGTTTGGGGAGGGCGGAAGAGGATTTATATAAATTTAGAGTGGAAATTCCTGCATATACAGAGATTTAGAGAGAGAGAGAGAGAGAGAGAACAAAAATTGTATATCTTGAGATTGGAATAATTTAAAGGGGTATTTAGGGTGCTAAACTAAATAAGGGATTGAATTTCAAGAGGCTCTGTGATGGTTTGCCATATAATGAAAAGAGCACTCAAAATGGAAACTTTCGAAAAACTAAGATTTTCAGTGGAAATCTTGAAAACTGTTTTAATAAGATGAAAGGGACATAAAATAAGATTCTCTTTAGAGCAAGTGTGTAAAGTTGGAATTGAAGGAAACTAAGAGAACACTTATCGGGATTGATTCATGTTTGCAATGGAATTGAAGAAGAAGACCGTGTTTGCAATGTCACACAATATAGTCTAGGGTTTACCTAACTCTTTTTTAAATAAGAAAACTCAAAATTATGATTTTTCCACTTATTCTCCACCTTAAAAAATAACTTCCTGATGACTTGATCAATATTTCAAAATTTAAACACAACTATACTATGACTAGACAAATCAAACTAATAAGTTGGACCACATGTACAACAGACAAAATGACCAAACTAACCTCGACCCAGAATGAGCCCAGTTTCCAGGAATAATTATCCTGCCAAATCAGCATTATAATGGATCCTTTTCCTTGGGGGTTGGAAAGGTTTTGGGACAAGTTGAGAATTGATGACTCTCCATGAAAAATAGAGAATTCAAAACTAGGTGCATGGATGGAAATTTTTTAATGAAGGGGTCTGTTAACACACCACACATCCCTCCAGATCTTAATTCTGGAACCCTTTCCAACTCTAAGCACCACTCCATCCACAAATTTGCTACGAGTTCTTTCAATCCATTTCAAAGGGAGAAGACTATTTGATAGGCACACCACTAGGCCAATCCCCACTATTCGGCCCGCTAGCATGATTCCCATCCAGCCTTACCCGAAGACCTATGTGAGAGGGCGTCAACAAGTTAATTACAATTGAAGAGCTTCCCACATGATGTAATCCTTATATACACATAAATATGTGGAATAAAGAGGATTATCTTTTGAGTGCACCAACCCTACTCTTTTTCTTTGTAGGAGGCCTAAGCTCCCTCGAAGAAGCTCCTGAGATAGGAAGAACCTAACAACTGGTATCAAAGCTCCAACTGGAGCATTGCAATGGTGAGTACCAGGTCCTCTTCCACTGACAAGTGCATTGGTTGGATAGAAGGAGACATCAATGAGATTAAGACCGCTTTGTCTATTGTCCTTATCAAGCCAGAAAAGGAGAAGGCTCCAGTCAGACCAGTAACCACAGCAGTGGGGCGACACCATGGAAACAAACCAAACTGGTTTTCCGAAACTTTTCAAGTGAGGATCCTAAATGGATCTTCAGTGGTTTTGCCAGTCACACCCTCAAGTGACTTGAGCGGATTTCACTAAAGCTCTTTGTGTGTGATTTGGACCTACCGGATTCAAGGACTATGATGAGCACCTTTCCAAGTTACGCTAAACAAGGTCCACGAGAGTACCAAATGGAGTTTGAACACCTTTCCATCACAGTTCACAGGTGGCCAGAAAAGGCCCTATTAAGTTGCTTTATCAGCAGGTTGAGAGATGATATTAGGGTGGAGGTGAAATCCATGAAACCCTCCACCGTTATGGCCATTGTGGGCTTGGCTCAACTATATGAGGAGAAACTGGGCTGCCTTAAGAAACCACTCGGAAAACCCCAAGGGCTTAATCCCATACTTATTACACCACCACTGGGCTGACCTGTTGATGAGAAGATGGGCTGGAGTCCTACTCCAAGCCCCACTAAACTAGAGACCCAAGGTTTCAGGCTCGACATCCCCTATAAGAAACTAACATGAGTCGAGATGCAGGCCCGGAAGGAGACAGGCCTCTACTATAATTGTGATAAGAGGTTCAGTCAATTACACAAATGTAAAGACCAACCAGTTTTCCTCCTCCAAACTGATGGGCCAAGCAAAGAAGAGGCCCAAGAGACTGATCCCACTGAGGACACCCAAGCTAATCTGGACATGATATCCAGGTTGGATCCACCAAAGATATCCTTATTCTTATTGGGCTCACTTCCCCACAGACCATGCGAGTCAATGGGCCACCTCAAGGGGCAAAGAGTTTGCTTAGAGCCTCCAAAACCGGACAGAAGGGTTTGGTGCCCAAGTCCTAAAGGTCTCTTTTCTTGTGCCTCTTTTTTTAGTGCTATTTGCCAGTCCCCTATCACTCTTTCCATTCCTTCTAAGGAAGTTTGGTTTCAACCGATTCCTCCAAAAATTAAGGCTTCTTGTTGGGAAGTGGCTTATGGGAAAGTTAACACTCTGGATTACCTACAAAAGAAGAGGCCGTTTCTGTGTATTTCCTTGCATTGGTGCACTCTTATGTAAATCGGATGGTGAATCTTGTTACCACTTACTAATCAGTTGCTTCTTTGCTGCAGATATTTTGGGAGTGGTTTTTCTCTTTGTTTGGGTGCAGGTGGAACATGCCAATGGAGATTAAGATGTTGTTTGATCCAGCTACCTTCGTGTGGCCAAAAAGAAGGAAAAGAATAATGTGGAGAATGTGGAGATGTTTTGGTTGAGGTTTTTAAGGAATTTGCAAATAATCACATAGTGAGCAGGGGTGTAAATGCCACTTTTCTGGCCCTAGTTCCTAAGAGACCTGATGCTATTCGTCCTAAGGATTTCAGACCAATTAGCTTGGTGACGAGCATCTACAAAATCCTAGCTAAGGTTCTACCTCTAAGGCTTAAAGAAGTGACCCCCTCCTTAGTCAGCCAAACCCAAGGGGCCTTTGTACAAGGAAGACAAATAATTGACCAAATAATGATTGCCAAAGAAAGTGTGGAGGATTGGAGGAGATCCGATAGGAAAGGCTTTGTGTGTAAGTTGGATGTTGAAAAGGCTTATGACATGGTGGACTGGAAGTTCCTTAGTGAAGTATTAAGAAATTGTGGCTTTGGTGAAAAGTGGTGTAATTGGATCCTAGGTTGTCTTAGCTCCTATCACTATTCAATCCTAGTGAACGGAGTGGTGAAGGATTTCTTCTCAGCTAGTCAAGGCATCAGACAGGGAGATCCTCTCTCACCTTTTCTTTTCACCTTAGTTGCTGATGTGCTTAGTTGTTTAATCTATAAGGCTGATCGAGAAGGTGTAGTTAGAGGGTGGAGAGTTGGTAGAAATGAGACCCCAGTTATCCATCTCCAGTTCACGGATGACATTTTAATTTTTTGCGAAGGGGCTGAGATTGAGAGGGTGAGAAGTTTAAAGATGCTGATTAGGAACTTTGAAATTATGTCCAACTTGAAAATCAATTTTGAAAAGAGTTGCATTGCAGGGATTAATTTGGAGTCAAGAGAAGTGGAGGTTATTGCTGAGGGCTTAGAGTGTTCTATCTCCATTTGGCCTTTGATCTACTTGGGGCTTCCTTTAGGAGCAAATCCTCGGGAGAGTAGGTTTTGGTGCCCAATTGTAGAGAAGTTTGAGAAGAGATTGGCTTCATGGAAAAAGAACCACATATCTCTGGGGGGAAGAATCACCTTAATAAGAGCTACACTTGCAAACCTTCCAACTTACTATCTCTCTGTCTTTAGGATCCCAACTAGGGAAGCTAAGAAGCTGGAAAAACTAATGAGAGACTTTCTTTGGGAACTGGGGGAAAATAGAAAAGACCATTTAATTAAGTGGGAGGTGGTGTGTAGGAGTAAAGAGGAAGGGGGATTAGGACTAGGGAATTTAATTCAGAAAAATACAGCCTTACTGAGGAAGTGGTTGTGGAGGTGGCCGTTAGAGAGAGTCAGGTTGTGGCATGAGGTGATAGGAAGCATACATGGCGGCTCAGGGAATAGATGGGATACTGGTGTATCAAGGCAGGCAACTTCAGCAACCCCTTGGAAAGCAGTGCACAATATTCTTCCTCAGTTTCTCAGTCTTATCAGGTATGATGTGTGTGATGGTAACTCTGTCCTCTTTTGGGAGGACATTTGGGTTGGAGATGTTCCCCTGAAAACCTTTTTCCCTTCCCTATTCTCAGTTTCTCGATACAAAAAAGAGGTTGTTTCCAAGTTTTGCTCCTCATTGGAAACCCCTTGGGCTCCTACTTGGGATTTTGGGTTCCATAGAGGCTTAAGGGATGAGGAGATTGAGTGCTTAATCAGTTTACTCTGCCTTCTTGAGCAAGTCTGTTTGAACCCCTCTGAACCTGACAAAAGAATTTGGACACCTAGATCAGAAGGATCTTTCTCTTGTGGTTCTTTTTTCAAATCCCTTTGCTGTTCTAACCCCCAGCAGGCCTTCCCTGTTAAGGAAGTTTGGTGCAGACTTGTTCCCTCTAAGATCTTGGCATTCTGTTGGGAAGTGTTCTATAAGAAAGT